CTCGCAACCAGAAAATGACAAAGATTGCCGCTCGGATGGTTCGCGGCAATCGCGATACTGCAGCGAAGGTATAAAGAACCCAAGTTGAGAACACTCTTTTGCCTTTTCCCGTACACATACGACTTGATCTGGACTTCAACCTCATCCCTCACACCATCGAAACACCGTTTAAGTCTAAGATGCAGCTCCTTACTCCCACCGTACTCCTCGCTCTGGCGCTTGCCGCCACCGCTCATCCGCACCATTCCGTGTCGAAGCGTGAGCTTGCTCACATGCGTCGAGCCGATGAAGCTCTTCAAGCTCGTGCAGCCCATTGTTCCTACAAGAGCAGAGCTTACAAGGAAGCCAGAAAGCTTCACAGTCGACGCGGACTAGGCAACACAAGCATCCGTAGCGTGATGGACGAGCACTTCGGCGACCTCCTGCAGAAGCGCGTAGAACGTGAGTTGCGAGGCGTATCTTGAGATTTCATATGTTGATGACTGACTCATACCCTTCATTGCAGCTCATATGAACCCGATCACGCAAAATGATACTTGTGTTCTTAGCCCAGAGATGACCGAAGGTCCTTACTACGTCGTTGGCGAACTGATCCGTCAGAACATCACCGAAGGTCAAGCAGGCGCCGCTCTCCATCTCAACATGGGCTTTCTCGACGTCGAAACCTGCCAACCGGTGCCCAACGTCTATGTAGAGTTCTGGCACGCAAACTCGACAGTGAGTCGGGTTGATCATCTTTGCGAAGCAGAACGCATCGCTGACCACCTTGCCAAACGTCGTCGGGATGCATAGGGCTACTATTCTGGTTACACAGCCAGCAACCCGGGTGGCGGAGGTGGCGAATCCAGCGCTGGGACCAGCGCCTCGGGCTCCTCAAGTGCTCTTTCCGTATCACGCAGCTCCTCTCAGACCATCTTCTCTGCAACGGGATCACAGTCGGCATCTGCGTCTGCAGCGAGTGGCATGCCTTCGGGCACGCCGCCGTCCGGCAGCGGTAACAGTACCTCGAGCTCTGGAGCGCTAGGCGGATCTGGATCTAGCGGTGGGCCTGGCTCTTCTTCAGGACCCACCGACAACACCTCCTTCTTACGTGGCATCTGGCCAACCAACGACGATGGAGTCGTAGAGATCTACACGCTCTTCCCAGGTCATTAC